CTTCTCAAAAGAGGAAATCACGCGCAATCCTCGCACAGTACCTACGCACGATGTTAGAATGTGTCCAAGAAGACCATGCTATGGAAGTTGTGCGACATGAACCACGGTTCGTCATAGGTCATGTATCGGTGCCGACGATTCCTAGCAGTGTCAGGAAGTAGGCCCTAAGCCTAAACCTGGAGACACCAATTCAAGTTGGTGATTTGTGCGTTGGCATGTTCTCCGTGAGGGGCTCCCTAAACCCTAAACCCTAAACCCCAAACCCTAAACCCTAAACCCTAAACCCTAAACCCGAAGCCGCTGCAGGCCTCAAGAGCCAGGAACTGCAAGCTTCCCGAGGAGCCCCAAGTACGAGAAGGCGGCCGAGGAGTAGTGGGGGTGGAGGTAGTAGTAGTTGCAGCTGCATTGCTTGAGTAGTGGTAGCGGTTGCTGCTGTAGTTGTAGTTGTAGCTGTAGATGTCGATGTTGGTGTTGATATAGATGTAGATGTAGTCGCAGTAGTAGTAGTGGTAGCAGTAGTGGTAGTAGTGGTAGTAGTAGTAGTAGTAGTAGTAGTAATAGCAGTAGCAGTAGCAGTAGCAGTAGCAGTAGCAGTAGCGGTAGCGGTAGCGGTAGCGGTAGCAGTAGCAGCAGTAGTACTCGCAGCAGGAGGAAAGGGAGCAATGGTCGCACTAGCTGATGTCGCAGCAGCACTTGTTGCGGTGCCCTTTGTTGAAGATGGAATTGTAAGAGTAGCACCAGGACCAGGAGCATTCATCTTGCTATCATGAGAGCTTGAATGGATGGCAGTGACCTCTGGCGGCATGCATGTGTGTCACTCCACTTTTCTAAACGAGTTTGCAGGACCACCCGTTTTGCTGCCAGTCGTATTCCAATTCATCCCTCTTCGTTCGGAATATGCCTCCTCCGAAGTAGCTCCCGACTAGCACGAACCGAGACACATCGGACAGCTCCTACTTCTTATATCAACTAGATAGATACCAGAGGCGGAATGCAAAACTTAACAAGTGCGATCCGGTGAAACGCGTGAGCCTACTCGCGGAGTGAAAAACACCGAACTCCTGAGCAAGACGTCCGTGAAGACCAAGATGGGTAACCCCAAGCCGAGAAAACTCAACCACCAACCTGAACCCCCAAACCCTTAGACGCTAAACCCAAAGCCTCAAAACCGGTAGAGTTCGCATTACAGTTCTCCTTATAGAGTACCCTCAACCCTAAGCCCTAAACCCCCTATACAGCCCGTAAACCCTAAAACCCTAAACCCTAAACCCGCTAAAGTTTGCCAGGCAGCTCGGGCCCAGCAAGAAACCCTTCTCCGGCACCCAGATGAGTGCCAAGCTGGGAGAGCCTTATCGGCCCTCTAATGGGTTTCGGGTTTAGGGTTTAGGGTTTAGGGTCTATAAGGGTTCAACAGCGATTCTACACAGAAAGGCTTCTATAAGGGTTCTAGAAGGATTTAGTACGGATTCGGAACCTCAAGGTTTCCGACCATTTCGAGAGTTTGGGAGTTGAGGGCCTGAGGGCTGAAGGGTTTAGAGCCTGAGGGTCTTACGGGTTTAGGGCTTTATGATTGAGGGTTTTGTGATTGAGGGTTTAAGGCCTGAGGGTTCATGAACCCAAACCCTAAACCTAAACCCCTAAAGTTTAGGGTTTAGGGCCTTAGGGTCTTACGGGTTTCGCGATTTAGGCACTGAGACTGGAGACCCAAAGCTCACGCGAGCGAGAACTTGTGCCGAGGCGCGCTGCGACGAGCTTCGCACCTGCCAGCAGTTTAGGGCCCAGAAGCTTAGGTTTTCGGGTTTCGGGTTTAGGGCTTAGGGCTTTGGGTTCAGGGTTTAGGGCTTCGGCTAGGAACCCCAAAGCCTGAAACCCTTAGCCGGACGGTGCGCATCACACATGTTCTCATCTACACTAGGAGCTTTGGGGTACCTTATTCGGGATCCAAGCTACAGGGACCCTACTACGTCGAGTCTACATTAGGGTCCTTCATTTTCTGAGACCAAGACAAGGAAAAGAATATGCTGTCGGAGCCATGCGATCATCTGTTCGAGCTGCTTCTCCCTGGCTATATATGTGTAGGGGGCAGAAAAGAAAGTGCACAAAGAGACTAGGAGAAGAGAACGACAGAGAGAAGGAGGGAAACCGGGAAGAAAGGGAGAGAGGGGACAACTGTGCCTCTAGCTGAGCTCTCCCCCTCCGAAACCCATTGCATCTTGTAGGGAAAAGATGGAAACAATTGGCACGAAATCTTGTTCGAGGCCCTGGCGGAGCTCGGCATCCGCAGCTTCGTCCGTGTTCTTCGTGAACCTCGGTGGATTGTTTGAGTCTGAACTCAGCGGGGTCAACAGAACTTAGGGTAAGCTAAGTGAGGGTTTACCGGTGTGTGTGTGTGTGTGTGTGTGTGTGTTGTGTGTGTGTGTGTGTGTGTGTAGGGGCGGCATGGGCTGTACAAGTATGTTACGACGGCATCTGTTTTGACGCAACCACATATACATATACATACACATATACATATACATATACATATACATATACATATACATATACATATACATCTACATACATATGTACATATATATATATATATATACTTATCTTCTTATTTCTGGACATTGTGACTGGGGCATCCGTGTTCAGCTCCTCTCTTGGTGCGGAAAGCCTCCGTGCTGGTGTGGGTGCTCGGGAGGTTTATTTGCTTGGGATTCAAACTCTAAGGTTTAAAACCCTAAACCCTAAAGTTTCACGGAAGTTTAGAATTGTTTGGGGATCTTCAACTCACCCGTGGCATAAACGGCCTCACCCTCGCAAGGTTTGTGGTTTTTGCTTCATGAGAGGGCTGTCAGACAAGTTCCATTTAGTAGCCGAGCCCCACAACCGAAAATCCTGTACTGTGCAGTTACTTCTGAGCACATCCAGGCTAGTCGCAAGCTATACTTTGCTAGAGACACATCGGAAAATCTGACGCTGTTAAAACAGTGAGACCTGGTCCCCATGGTGTGTAATAAGCTCTCGCGGAAAGTGAAAGTATGTTGGTACAAGAGGTACGCAACGTCCGATACAACGGGTTGTAGCATGATACCAAGGGCATCAACACAACAGAGCATTGCGTACCAATCTAACATAACCATGTGAGACTTGGCTTTTCCCTCACATGTTTGAAGCACGGACAGCTTGGACCTGATACAGACGGAGAGTATGTATCATGAATCATGCACGAGTATGTAAAGCATTATAGCATTTATATATATATATATATATAATATATATATATATATGTATGTATATACATATACAATATATATATATATATATATAACATATATATATATATGCACTCACCCCAAACCGTCTTCGTGGAACTCTAGCTCCTAGGGATCGGGAGTCGCGGTGGGAACCGCGGTGGGAAAAGCAGAGGCTGAATGAAGGCCTTGACCTTGACTTGGCGATTGAGGTCGACTGTGGTTGGTGCTTAGGGTTTAGGGTGTTCGGGTTTAGGGAAGTTTTTTTGAAGTGTTTAGGGAAGTTTAGGGTTTAGGGTTTAGGGTATGGAGATTCCCATCCGAACATAGGATGGACCGCAACTAAGCGCCGATGCCGTGCAAATCCCTCTTAGTCCGAGACATGAACCTCAAACCCTCAACTTTCGACTATCCAATCGTCTTTATGCCGTACGTAGCAGCAGGACAAAAGAAGGCAGCGCCTTGAGCGCCGAGTCTTTATCCTTTGGGGTGAATCCTTAGCTTATTCGTACATCCTTTGGTAAAGTTAAGGTATTCAGAATGTCGTGTTGGCTTTTGGAGAGAGCGAGTGTTGTATCCGCAGATACAACCTCTGGCACCCGACTCTGCCAAAGGAAGGTAGCGGTTACATAGGCGACAGGCCTTTGGGTGCTTGTGGATTCGATGCTGCAGGTCTTGTGCTATCGTATCTTATATCTAAGGTAGAACCCATGGGCTCCTAGTATGGGCCCTTAACCCTGGGACCCTAATATACCTACTATATACCCTATATATACCCTTAAGGGACCCTAGAATCCCCTGAAGGGCCCATGTTAGGGGCCCATGGGTTCAACCTTAGATTATGGCTCCCTCGAAGTCTGTTGGCTGCCCATGTTCGTTTGCATCTCTAGTTGCGCAATTCGCATATACATGTGCATGAGTTTCTGCGGTGTGTACGTGCTTATGCTTAGACTAAGACACGAGTCGGTGTGTCTGTCTGCATACATGGCCTTGGAGGTTCGTACACAGATACACGGAGAGTCTAGAGACAAACCGACACATAGGAAGATCTAGATATACACGCAGCCACGACTGCGTTGCCCCTTTCTTCGCTGTGGGAGCCGGTCCTGGACAGAGCTGCTATCGCCGCCGCAGCCTGCGTCGCCCCAGGTGACCAGGGTCCCATCCGCCAGTATAGCCGCCATGGCACCATTGGTACCCTGGACCTGCTGAACGTCGCACAGCTGGTCTCGAACAGAGCGGCTGTCGCCGCCAGCGTGGTCTGCACCCCAGGTCACTACCGAGCCGTCTGCGCGGATGGCGGCGAAGGCAAAGCCAGAGGACTGAATCTGCTGAACGTCCTTGAGCTGACTTGCAACAGAACTGCAGTCCCCCCCTGCGGTGGCATCACCCCAAGATACCACAGATCCATTCTCTAGAAGGGCAGCGAAAGCACCATTCCAAGAAGCCTGGATCTGCATCACATTCTTCAGCTCGTGTTGCACTTTGCTACTATCACCGCCACAGTCTGCATGCCCCCAGGTCACCACTGAGCCATCCGCAAGGAGCGCGGCAAAGGCACTCTCGGAGGACTGGATCTGTCGTACATCCCGCAACCTCCCGTGCACAGCAGACGTGTCTCCTCCGGCCTGTGCGAAGCCCCAACTCACCTGGGTTGTTCTTGGGGTTCTTGGGTGCCCTTCAAAAGTCAAGGTTTCGCTTCTTTGCCTTCTTCACAACATGCTAGACGAAAATTCCCTCCTTCTAAAGCGACCTAGTCACCACGGTGCCGTCGCTCCGGATGGCAGAGAAGGCCCCTGTCCACGTCGCCTGGATGTGCTGAACATCACTGAGCTGGTCCCTGACCTTGCTCGTATCAGCACCGTACTCCGCGTGGCCCCAAGCAACCACAGAGCCGTCGTCCTTGATTATTGCGCATGCGCCGTTAGAGGCAGAAATCCTTCGCGCATGTTGTAGTTTCGTCTGGATGGACTGACTGCCCCAGCACACGGTCGTCCCGTCAGCGAGGGTGGCCGCAAAAGCCACGCCGAAGGCTTGAAGCTCCAGAACATTTAAGAGTTGGTCTTGGACCGCACTGCTGTTCCCACCGAAGTCTTCGTCACCCCAGGTAACAACGAAACCATCAGCAAGAAGTGCTGCAAAGGCACCATCCGACCCACAGATCTGCTGAACATCCTTCAGCTGCTCCTGCACCTCTAGGACCCCAAAAAAGCACATAAGCAAAAATTAGGACAGTGATGTCCCATATAAACCCCCTTATAATGAAGCCCAATAAGGTAGGGATATCCCTATAAAATGCTTATGCTTATGTCCTGTAGGGGTTCCTGCACCTGGGCGCTATCGGCTCCAAAATCCGCATCTCCCCAAGTCACCCTAAACCCTAAACCCTAAACCGTAAACCGTGGCCTCGGCGCTATCGGCGCCAAAATCCGCATCTCCCCAAGTCACCACGGTCCCGTCTTCGCAGAGCAGGGCAAAGGCTCCAATGGTTGAGACAACCTCTCTCAGGGCTTCAGGGTCTCAGCTTACTGCCAGGACATCTATGTATATATATAGATATATATATATATATATATATATATATTTTATATATATATATATTATATTATATTATATATATATATATTATATATATAGATAGATAGATAGATAGATAGATAGATAGATAGATAGTATACTGTAAGAATTGCTACCAGGGGTATTACAAGGGCTCTATAAGAGTCTTAAGGTTTTCGGGCTTACTCCACGTACCTCCGCATGGCGGACGATGGCACCCACGGTTGCTCCGTGCCTTAGGCCTGCTTGGAGAAGCGTCGATGTTCCTTGCAGGACGGCCCCCGATTCAGAAATGAGCCTGATGATTCCCACGCCCAGCTCCTTCTGTGCCGTTTGCCTTAAGGCTTCCACCGGACTTTCGTCCCATGTTGTGATGCTAGCACTTTGGCCGCTCAGCAACGCCACATGAACAGAGATCAGCATCAGTGCAGCATGCGCAATAGCTACACGGCTAGCCCGAGGCCCTGTGTTGTGTCCTGGGCTTCAGCAGATATGAACTTTCTCGGAATGGCCGCTGAACCCTGAACCTTAACCCCAAACGCCTTGAGCTCATCCCCAGCCAAACAGCCTTCACCCTTAAAGCTCTATCGCTGAAGAAACGAAAAATCCTGAGCCTTTACAGGAAGGAATCTGAAGACGTGTAACTTGCCTGTGTCTCACCGCACCTGCCGACAGCTTTGGTCCCACCGGCGACAGGGTCTCTAGTTTAGGGTTTAGGGTTTAGGGTTTAGGCAAGAGGATGTAGCATGGCAAAGTGCATTCTCCCATGTCATAGGAGGATTAACGGGAAATGTTATTAACAAGTTCTCACAGTAACCGATTGGGCCAGTTGCCGGCACCTGCTGCCGAGCCACCCAGCAATCGCCGGAAAGATTCCAAGACTCTTCACCTCTAAGCACGGAGGGAACGAAGAGCAAGAGGATACGAAGATGGTGTTGGGGCTCAGGATTGAGACTCGGGGCGTTTTCTCGCGGATGTTCGGGATGTTGAAGATTATGCTTGAAGCGTGAGAGCAACACGGAATACGATTTTGGGCTGCGTGTTTCTATAACTCTAACTATGTAGTAGGATTTCGAAATTAAGACCTCCGCTTGTTTTTACTGCGTCTGCATCAGGCGTCCTACTTCTTGCACCACCGGCACCGCCAATGCTGAAATCTTCATCGCCCTTACATCGAGCATCTCAACATGAGGGATGCGCAGCTTCATGGTTGGGGATCAAGGCTTGTGGCCACCCAACGCTCCCTGAATTTTACGCAGCCACTCGAAGCCCGTAAAGCAAAGGACCCTACAAGCCCCAGAAACCTGCTATTTGTAGAACCGTATAGTACCCTTTTCTTGACCCTGCTATAGAACCCTATGGTACCCTTTAAGGGGACCCTGCTATAGAACCCTATGGTACCCTTTAAGGGGACCCTACTTTTGAACCCTTATGGTACCCTTTAAAGCTCCGGCGGCTTAGAGTTAAGGGGAGAGAGCCTCCCTGGCTCGTAAGCCTCAACGCTTCGGTCTTAAACCCACAATCCGAGCTCTAAAACTCACGGTTTGGGATCTAGGGTTTAGGGTTTAGGGTTTGGGATGTAGGGTTTAGGGTTTAGGGCTTAGGATCTGGGGTTTAAGGTTTAGGGTGTTTGGTACAGTCTCAACTCTCCGACACTGAACAATGTCGGGGTTGCTTATTGTGATTTCCGTTTACATGTCAACTTTATTCTGTCCGTAAACACCTCGTTTTTGAAGGGGGGTTGAGGTGAAGTCCAAGCCTTAAACCCAGAACTCTGAGGTAGGGGTCTGAGATGTAAGGCTCTTCCTTAGTGCTCCCTACTTTGCTTATACAGTATAAGGCACTCAGACCCCGTAGTCTGTCTGCGCAGACCCAAGTACTAAACCCCGGCATCTCGAAACCCGAATTAGGCTTCGGCTGCAATACAGAGGCCGTAATAAATACAATGAGGCTTTGGTGAAGATTACTTATCTCAACCCTTAAACCCCCCAACCCTACACACTAAACCCTGAACCATTAACTACCCCTAAGCTATTAACCCTAAACCCTAAACCCCAAACCCCTAAACCCCCAAACCCGGTACCCCAAACGCTGCCTTCTCGGCTGCCCCCGCGGAAGGCGCCAGCGCCGGCGCTTCGAACTCGCGATCGATCCAGGCCTTCCAGAGGCCGGTTTAGGGTTTAGGGTTTAGGGTTTAGGGTTTAGGGTTTAGGGTTTATGGTTTAGGGTTTAGGGTTTAGTTTAGGAACCCAGAGACTCCAATGCCCCTTAATTAAGGAATAGACCTTAAATCTTATTTTATGGATCCTACTAGAATTTAAAGTATATTCCTTAATGAAGGGGTATTGGGGTCTCTGGGAAGTTAAGGGTGTGGGGTTTAGGGTTTAGGTTTAGGAAGTTTAGGGCTTGGGGTTTAGGGTTCAGGGTTTGGGAAAAAGGGAGCTTTTTGGTTCCACAGGGCTTCAACATGTTTAGGGTTTAGGGCTGCATGCGGATATATAGGGCCTGTAGGGATATATAGGGCTTGTAGGGTCTTGGAGGCTTTTGTCGTGAGAATTGTGTTACGGTTTCTCGAAGTGGTTTACAAAATCTTACAGGTTTATAAGGGCTTCGAAGTGTTTTACACTGTAAATGTAGATCCCTGATTCGTAAGCCCGTTCCTGCCGGGCACTATAACCCGAAAAATCCCAGGAGAAAGACCCTAAACGCTAAACCCTAAACCCTGAACGCTAAACCCTTTTAAACTCTAAACCGTTACAGTAGGAATCCTGAATAAGGCTTCCTCCAGCAAAGGAATGCTGGAGTCTCTTCGGATCGCAGAGGCGGGGTGAGAAGAAGATTTTTCAGGCGGACTGCAGCAGGGGCCTGAATAAGTGAATAGAGGAGGGAGTCGGGGTTTAGGGTTTAGGGGGTTGTGGGATGTATGATACTGCTAGGAACACTCAGGGAGACCACTAATTACATGGCTCAGGTTCTCAATGAGGGCTCAAGCTAAGGGCCTTAGGATTTTCGGACTTCAGGATTTCAGGGAATAGTATAAGCTTTGTAGATTTCAGGATATGGAAAGGTTTGGGGCTTAGGATATCAGGCATTTAGTGTTTCGGGGAAGAGCTATCCTCAGCTATCGTCCTTTGTACAAGCGTTAGGCATTTAGTGTTTCGGGGACAAGAGCTATCGCTTATAGAAGCATTCTAGACAATTTGGTGACTCTTCACAAGGTTTAAGTTCTAGGAGATCAAGGTTTTGGGGCTCAAGGCCTGGTATGCTTGCAATTTGTTGTGGCGTTTATTGATTAGGGTAGGGTTTAGGGTTTAGG